GGGCAGGGGCTTCGGCTCTTGGGGAAGGGGCTTTGGCTCCGGGGGAAGGGGCCAAACCCTTGGTCCAAGCGCGGGGTCAGCAGCTGGGAGCTGGAGCAGCCAGCAGAGCCGGGGGGCCCAGCCTTGGTCCCCGCTTTGGACTGGGGACTCCCAGCTGATGAAGGTATTCATTGATTAACGAACGCACCGCGAGGAAATTGGCAAAGCAGCAAATAACGTAATGACCTGACCGACGTTCCACTAACAGTAACGCCCGACACACGGTTGTGCGGGTGATTACGCACATCGTGGAGCTGTTAACGACAGCTCGTGCATCCATTAATGACAGCTCTTACATCCAACGAGTTACGGTTCTGGAAGCCCGAGGGCTTCACTCTGGTGTCGCTGCTGTCCGTGGGCATCCGCCCTGGGAAGGATCCGCCCTCCGGTGGTTTCTGCTGTACTTTTATGCCCCGTTTTTATTTTTTGTTTGGGCTGTCCTGTTTTGCTGCCTTTGCACTGCATTTCCTCTGCTCCGTTCCCCCCAAATAAACACCCCACCCCTAACGACCTCCCCCGCTGCCCCAGGGAGCCCAGATGAAGATGGAGCTGGCCAGCCTGACGCCTCTGCAGGTGCCCCAGATCTCCCTCCCCAAGAATAGGCAGGGAGAAGGCCTGGCCACGCAAGCGCTCTATCGCAAGACCAACCAGCTCCTGGAAACCCTCTACCAGATGAGCGCCAACGCCAAGGTTGTGGACATGAAGCAGACCAAGTCGGGTAGGTCCTACACAAACGTTCCTTGGCTGAAGCATCTGGGGGGAAGGGGGGGTCACAGGCAGCTGTGAGCCGGAGGGAGCTTGGCCCACGGCCCCCAAGCAACCTCCACATCTTCCCTCTGCCCCTGGGAGGGACTGGCCCTTCCTTCCCGCCCAGCCGGTGGCCGCAGCAGGATTTGCTCCAGGGCAGAGCTCCAGCCTGCGAGGGATCTGCGCTGGTGCCTGGAATCGCTGGTCGCTCGTGCTGACCGGGCATCCCTGTGCGGCAGGGAACGGCCTCGTGCCCCCGACAGGCGCCCGTCCCCATCCCCACACAGCGCCGCCGGCTGAGCCGGGAGCCTCTCACTGCCCCCAAAGCCTCCTCCCGAAACACAGGACCAGAGCTGGCGGAGCTGGTGCTCTGCACATAGAATGGAATCACAGAATGGTTTGGGTTGGGAAAGCCCAGCCCAGCCGTCCCCCTACCCCTGCCATCCCACCCCCAAACCCTGGCCCTCAGCACCGCCTCTGCCCGGCTGTTAAATCCCCCCAGGGCTGGGGACTCGACCCCT